TAATTTTTAGTTAAACCCTTTGATCACCCCAAAATGTAATTTTAATTTTTTTTTTTTTTTTTTTTAAACACATTTTTTTTTTTTTTTTTTTTTGCCATTAGTACAGTGTCAGTGCTTTTTTTTAGCACTGGATCACTGTATTGGTGGTCACTGGGGATGTCAGTGACACCAAGTCAGTTCCCCCCCAGTGTCAGAATTTTTTATTTTTTTTTTTTTTTTCCCTTTTTTTAATCCCGCTATAAGTTGCTGATTTGTTTACTTATTATTAGTAAAAAAAAAAAAAAGCCCAGTTTTATACAGTCATGGCCGAAATTGTTGGCACCCTTGATATTTCTCCAGGAAATCATGTATTTCTCACGAAACGTATTGCATTAACACATGTTTTTGCTATACACATGTTTATTCCCTTTGTGTGTATTGGGACAAAACAAAAAAAAGGGAGGAAAGAAAGCAAATTCGACATAATGTCACACAAACCTCCAAAAAGGGCTGGACAAAAGTATTGGCACCCTTTCACAACTGCGGATAAATAAGAATGTTACAAGCATGTGATGCTCCTGTAAACTCACCTGGGGCAAGTAACAGGTGTGGGCAATATAGAAATCACACCTGAAAGCAGATAAAAAGGAGAGACGTTCACTTAACCTTTGCATTGTGTGTCTGTCTGTGCCACACTAAGCATGGACAACAGAAAGAGGAGACGAGAACTGTCTGAGGACCTGAGAACCAAAATTGTGGCAAAATATCAACAATCAAGGTTACAAGTCCATCTCCAGAGAACTAGATTTGCCTTTGTCCACAGTGCGCAACATTATCAAGAAGTTTGCAACCCCCATGGCACTGTAGCTAATCTCCCTGGTCGTGGACGGATGAGGAAAATTGATGAAAGATTGCAACGCAGAATATAGTCCGGATGGTGGATAAGCAGCCCCAAACATGTTCCAAAGACATTCAAGCTGTCCTGCAGGCTCAGGGAGCATCAGTGTCAGCATGCGAACTATCCGTCGACATTTAAATGAAATGAAACGCTATGGCAGGAGACCCAGGAGGACCCCACTGCTGACACAGAGACATAAAAAAGCAAGACTACACAGTTTGCCAAAATGTACTTGAGTAAGCCAAAAGCCTTCTGGGAAACGTCTTGTGGACAGATGAGACCAAGATAGAGCTTTTCGGTAAAGCACATCATTCTACTGTTTACCGAAAACGGAATGAGGCCTACAAAGAACAAAACACAGTACCTACGGTAAAAAATATGGTGGAGGTTCAATGATGTTTTGGGGTTGTTTTGCTGCCTCTGGCACTGGGTGCCTTGACTGTGTGCAAGGCATCATGAAATCTGAGGATTACCAAAGGATTTTGGGTCGCACTGTAGGGCCCAGTGTCACAGAAAGCTGGGTTTGCGTCCAAGATCCTGGGTCTTCCAGCAGGACAATGACCCCAAACATACGTCAAAAAGCACTCAGAAATGGATGGCAAAGAAGCGCTGGAGAGTTCTGAAGTGGCCAGCAATGAGCCCAGATCTAAATCCCATTGAACACCTGTGAGAGATCTTAAAATTGCTGTTGGGAAAAGGTGTCCTTCCAATAAGAGAGACCTGGAGCTGTTTGCAAAGGAAGAGTGGTCCAAAATTCCGGGTGAGAGGTGTCAGAAGCTTATTGATGGTTATAGGAAGCGACTGATTTCAGTTATGTTTTTCCAAAGGGTGTGCAACCCAAATATTAAGTTAAGGGTGCCAATACTTTTGTCCAGCCCATTTTTGGGGTTTTGTGTGACATTATGTCATATTGTGCTTTTCTGCCTCTGTTTTATATTTGTTCCAATACATACAAAGGGAATAAACATGTGTATAGCAAAAACATGTGTTAATGCAATACCTTTTTTGTGTGAAATACTTGATTTTCAGGAAAAATATCAAGGGTGCCAACAATTATCACCATTTGTAAACGCTATAACTTTCATGTAAACCAATTAATTTACATATAGTGGGATCTTTTTGTAGCAAAGACATGTAGCATAAAACATTTTGGCCTAAATTTATGATGAAATTAGATTTTAAAAATTTTTACTGGACTTGTTTAATAGCAAAAAGTCAAAAATATTGTTTATTTTCTCAAAATTGTCGGTCTTTTGTATATTATAGCGCAAAAAATAAAAAATGCACAGGCAATCAAATATCACTGAAAGAAAGCTCTATTCATGGGAAAAAAGGACATAGATTTCATTTGAGTGCAGCGTTGCATGACCACGCAATTGTCAGTTAAAATAACGCAGCACCAAAAAAAAAATGGCCTGGTCAGAAAGGGGGGTAAATCCTCTGGAGGGCAAGTGGTTAAAGAATATGTTAACCCAACATTTTATATTCCTGCTCTGTGCCTACTGTACCATGAAAAAGTATCCTGTTCTCTCTGTATTGCTTCCTTTGTGTGAAATCCCTGGTGTTCCTGCTAGTCCCTCTGCTTTCCTATTACAAACTGACCACACTAAGCAGGGCAGCACAGTGTGGTGACTTCTCTAGCCATGCTGGATAACTCAGCCTGATCTCCTCCAATGATCAGACTTGTCCTGACACGCCCCCCCCCCCTCACAGCCATTCACTGGGAAGACCAGTGTTCTGCTGATTTTCCTCCCCCAGATCCTTATTCAGAACAGAGAGTATGTGATCACTTCTAAAGAAGGGGAAAAAAATTATTTAGAATTGTTTTTATATATCTATACACAAATGTTTTGCCTTCATTTCTATTTTAAACTGAATGGGTTGTTTTATATTGTTAGGGTTTGTAATCATTTCAACTTTTTAAGAGTATTGGCTTTAGATATATTGTAATAACAGCCCCACCAACAGCACATACACTCTTTCCTTTTGCAAATCCATCACTATCTTCAACCACTGGAAGCAGAAAAAAAAATAACCAATACTTCTGGGTCTGGTGATATTGTGACAGCACTGGCACTTGGTGATTGGCAATCCGGACATCCAGTTATCTCACATTGGGACAGTGAGGGAGTCTTTAGACTGGTTATTCAAGGTTAGGTAAATATGTGCTGGTGAGGTCAGAGTGAACCTGTTGTTTTCGCTGCATGGAAAAAGCACGTTTACTCTAAGGGCCTTTTTCTATCTATTCTTATACAGTAAAATGCATTTTGGCATTACTACGTGTGCATTTGTACATTTTATACAGGCATTTATGCATGCTTTTTTTGGTATGCAGTTTTTATTAAACCATTACACAAAGATAAGGAAAAACATGCAGAATAAGAATTTTTCTTAGCGCAGATAGGATGAAAATGCGCAAAAATGCTTGTTTGTACATTTCCCAATTATTTTTGTGCAACAGCTTAATGTGCTTAAACTCACAAAAATGCAGCATGTCTTATAATGTTCTAGAATTGAATTACACACTATGCTGTAGTATTGTGAATTGTCCACATAAGTATCACATTTCTACATGAAATGCATTTTTATGGAGGAAAATGCAGACTGCACACTGTGGCAAAATGGAAAAGTGTGTACAGTCCCTAAGGCCATCCACAGGCTGAATATAGAGCGTGGTTTGAGAGAGATATAATGAAAATGTAAGAGATTTGAAAATGGTATAAAAGAAAAACCTAAATTAGTAAAAGTGTTTTTATTTAGCCCGAAAAAATATCTCCTAATCAATAAGGTCATACTCAAGGTCAATTAAAAGCTTTGGAAGAATTGTGTCTTTGGTCCAAGAGCCTGAGAAAGGATTAGAGGTCATACACTATTTGAGGAAGAGACATTTCAGTTTACCAGTATGGTACCCTTATTACAGTGTTCATTGTCACTGGATACTAACATTTATAGGTAAAGTTGATCCAGGGAATTACCAATTGCCTTTAGGGGGATCAGGAAGGAATTTTTTTCCCTGCAGGAGCAAATTGCATTATGCTTTGCTGTTTTTTTGCCTTCCTCTGGATCAACTCTGGGGATAGGATTATAACTTTTTTTTTTTTAATGGTTGAACTGGATGGACTTTTTTCAGCCAGACTAACTATGTAACTATGATATATAGAAAGCATGCTTCAGCTCTCACATTATTTAAGTTGTCCATTTAATGCTTTAATTGTATATTACAAAATAAGTGTGAAATGCAAAGGTGCATTTTCCTTGTTTTCAAAACATAAAAAAAGCCCAATAAACATGAATTGCATTGGTTTCACTAAAATGAATGTAAAAGATGTTTTAATAAGGTGAAGAAGATTCAGCTTATATATAGGAAATGCAGACAAATAGCAGATTGACCTCTTGTACAGTAATCTCACAGAAAAATTAAGTAATCAACTAAGCTCCCCTTTGTATCTGGCCTGCTACTAACAAAAAAGTAATAGGCTGCTATTAGGATTTGTTATGTATAGAGTGGCTTATTCATTTATTTATGGTGGTCTTAGTTTCATTCATCAACAATAATGAAACAATATTTGTATTTCTGGAACCTGATCATCACATCTTTACAGTATGTGTTTATGGACACTTGACCATCACACCTATACAAGCATGTTGGACATCCCATTCCAAAACCATGGACATCATTATGAATTTGGTTGCTGCTTTGTGACTATTACATTCTCCATTTTTCTGGGAAGGCTTGTAAATTTGTGTCTATTCTGCTATAAGAACATTTGTGAGGTTAGATAGTGATATTAACCCCTTGCCTACCAGCCACTTATAACCCCTTCCTGCCCAGGCCAATTTTCAAGTTGCAGCGCTGTTGCACTTTGAATGACAATTGAGCAGTCATGCAGCACTGTACCCACATGAAATTTGTATAATTTTTTTCACACATATATAGCTTTCTTTTCGTGGTATTTAATCTCTTCTGGGTGTTTTATTTTTTGCGCTATAAACAAAAAAAGAGCAAAAAATGTTTAAAAAAAAGTTTTGCTTTGTTTCTATTATACAATTTTGGAAACAGGTAATTTTTCTCCTTCACTGATGTGCATCGATGAGGCTGCACTGATAGAAAGCACTGATGGGCACTGATAGACAGCATTGATGGGCACTGATGAAGTGGCATGGATAAGCAGTATTGATGGGCACTGATAGGCTGCACTGATGAGGTGGCACTAATGAGGTGGCACAGGTGGGCATTGATGAGGAGGCACTGATGATGCTGCACTGATATGCAGCAATGATGGTCACTGATAGGCTGCACTGATGGGCAGCGCTGACTGGCGGTACTGGCTGACAGCCCTGACTGAAAGCACTGACTGATGGCACTTGCTGCCGCCACTGTTGGGTACTGATGGGCGTAACTGATGGGCACTGATGGGTGACACGGCTGGGCAGTGATGGGCATAACTGCTGGGCAGCACTGATGGGTGGCACTGCTGGGGAGCACTGGTGGGAGGCACTGCTGGGCACTGGTGGGAGGCACTGTTGGGCACTGGTGGGAGGCACTTCAGGGCACTGATCATCAATGCCCTGATGATCAGTGCTGATCTGCTCTGTGACAGCTGCCAGTTATCGGCAGTACTTTCCTCACACTGTGACAGCGTGAGGAAAGTGCTACCGATAACCGGCAACTGTATTTACTCTGTGATCTGCTGTGCCATTGGACACAGCTGATCAAGTGGTAAAAGGCCGCTGTGATTGGCCTTTGACCTCATCATGTGATCAGCTATGTCTGTAGGACACAACGATCACAGAGAACGCCGGGCACATGCCCCTGAGGGTGCGCAGGAGGGCGCATTCTGGGAGGATGTCATATGATGCCCTCCCAGAACTGGGTAACCGTGCTGTAGCCATCATTTGGCTATAGCGCGGTTACCAAGTGGTTAAACAAGAAGACCTGGCTTAAAATCATCATTCCAACTGATCCCAAAGGTAATTATTAGGGTTGAGGTCAGTACTTTGTTCAGGCCATCCAAGTTCCTCCACACCAAGTTCATCAAACCATGTCTTTATGGAGCTGGCTTTGTGTAGAGGGGCACAGGCATGCTGGAATATAAAAAGGCCTTCTTTGAACCCATTGCCACAAGGCTGGAAGTGCACACATTTTTGTATGCTGCAGTATGTATACCACACCCATGGCTGGAAACACCTGAATTTACTCATTTGAAGAGGTGTCCACATATGTTTAGTCATAGAGTAGATGTGACAGTTAGGTGCTAGCAAGCTTTTGGCCATATAGTGTATAAAATGATGCAGCACCTCTGCCAGAGAGTACATCTAGGTCAGATTAAAGATTAATTTGACCTAAATTGCAAGAGGGTTTATTTATGAAATGGCTTTGATAAGAATCACAGATACATGCATAATCCTGGAGACTGCCAGAATTGAACACACTTGAGTGAAATTGTATGAGAAGGAAATACAGTACTTTCCTGATGACTTCCTGACCAGAAATCTAATTACCAACTGTCACTGGTAAGCGTCTGTTAACTTTAATTGGCAGAAAAAATAGAATAATATCATGCAAAACTAAATTAAAAATATTGTTCACTTCCCTAATGTCTGTGAAGATATAATATGTTTAAAGATACACTTGTAAATATGCTCAGTAGCATTTTTACATTATGTATCTCGTTGGGTTTATCCACTAGGTATTTATAGTGGATATGAAGCTGAGAGGACAAACTATATAGACTCAAGTGGCCCGTGGACATAAGCATTTAGCAGGTCATCAGACACTTGTCACAAAGCTTCCAACTGTCTCTTTTTTTGAGGGACGGATCAAATTACCCACCACTCTTCCCAGTTGCACTGGTCTACTTTTAGGTCTTTCATGTAGAATAAATACATTTATTTTTTAAAGGAAATGGATGGTCTTTTCTATGTTTTTTAGAATATAAAACATATAAAAGGGATCAGCTTCATGTAGATGATCTTTTCAGTGAGTGTTAATGTTTCATAAACCTTATGGCTGTCTATAATCTAGAACAAGCTTCTTAGCTTAGTGCATAAACAATATCTGCTTTTGTTCTATAGTGCTACACAATGGTTGTGTGTTACCACTCTTTCTCATACTGAAAGTGTGTTAGACAACTGACTCTTTGAAAACAGTGCTGTTCCTGTGTAGTTTCTACAGCAGGGGTAGGCAATCTTTGAGAGGTGGAAATCTACCTGAACAACATGAAAGAGATCAAAAAACACCGCAGTTCGGCAACCTTTTTTTAAAGAAATTACCTAGCAAGGCCTCACTAAATAATAGGGACAACATGAGGAAAACCTAGAAAAATATAATAAAAAAAAAAGTTACTGTAAAAAAAAATAGCCTTAGCCTACCTTAAAAGTTAGCTTCAGTGACAAACTCATTGACTTTCATTCACATAATTTTCGTATTTGGAGACTAATTGGTCACAACACAAGTCTAATACTGTAGTCCATCATAAAGTCAGAACAGCTAGTACTGCAGGCTGACTTGTTTGAATAGTTTCTGGTCCAACTGTAGAGCAATATACAGAAGTAAGTATTATGTAGGACAGTGGACAGAAGTCAGCAGTATGTAGTTCAGTGTAAAGAGGTTAGCAGTATGTAGGGCAGTGTACAGAGGTCGGTAGTATATGTACGGCACGGTACAGGGGTCAGTAGAGTGTAGGGCAGTGTACAGAGGTAAGTAGTAATAGGGCAGTAGACAGAGGTCAGTAGCATGTAGGTCAGTGGACAGAGGTCAGTAGTATGTAGGGTAGTGTACAGAAGTTAGCAGTATGTAGGGCAGTGTACAGAGGTCAATAGTATGTACGGCACTGTACAGGGGTCAGTAGTGTGTAGGGCAGTATATTGAGGTAAGCAGTAGTAAGTCAGTAGACAGAGGTCAGTAGCATGTAGGTCAGTGGACAGAGGTCAGTAGTATGTAGGTCAGTGGACAGAGGTCAGTAGTATGTAGGCAGTGTACAGAGGTCAGTAGTATGTATGGCACTGCACAGGGGTCAGTAGAATGTAGGGTAGTGGACAGAGGTAAGTAGTAGTAAGGCAGTAGAGAAAGTTCAGTAGTAAGTAGGACAGTAGACAGAGGTCAGTAGTATGTAGGGCAGTGGACAGAGATTAGTAGTATGTAGGGTAGTGTACAGAGGTTAGCAGTATGTAGGGCAGTGTACAGAGGTCAATAGTATGTATGGCACTGCACAGGGGTCAGTAGTGTGTAGGGCAGTGTATAGAGGTAAGCAGCAGTAAGGCAGTAGACAGAGGTCAGTAGTATGTAGGGAAGTGGACAGAGGCCAGTAGTATGTAGAGTATTGTACAGAGGTCGTAGTATGTACAGCACTGTACAAGGGTCATTTGTGTGTAGGGAAGTGTACAGAGGTAAGTAGTAGTAAGGCAGTAGACAGAGGTCAGTAGTGTGTAGGGCAGTGTACAGAAATCAGTAGTGTGTAGGGTAGTGCACAGGGGTCAGCAGTATGTACAGTAGTGTACAGGGGTCAGTAGTATGTAGGGTAGTGTACAGAGGCCAGTAGAATGTAATGCAGTGTACAGAGGTTAGTAGTAGGTAGGGCAGTGTACAGAATTCAGTAGTGGGTAGGGTGGTGCATAGAGGTCAGTAGGATGTAATGCAGTGTACAGAGGTCAATAGTAGGTAGGGCAATGTACAGGAGTCAGTAGTAGGTAGGGTGGTTTATAGAGGTCAGAAGGATGTAATGCCATGTACAGAGGTTAGTAGTAGGTAGGGCAGTGTACTGAAGTCAGTAGTAGGTAGGGTGCTGTGTAGAGGTCAGTAGGATGAATTGCAATGTACAGAGGTTGATAGTATATAAAGCCGTATACAGAGGTCATCAGAAAGAAAGGCAGTGTTTGGAGGTCAGTAGTAGGTTGGGTAGAGTACAGGAGTCAGCAGTTTGTAGGATAGAATATAATGGTCTGTAGAACAGAGGATGGGGTCAGTAGAACAGTGTACAGGGGTCAGTAGAACAGTGGACAGTGTCAATCAGTAGAGCAGTGGACAGTGTGAGTAGGACAGTGGATGGTGTTAGTAGGACAGTGGATGGTGTCAGCTAGTAGGGCAGTGGATGGAGTTAGTTAAAAGGGCAGAGGATAGGGACAGTTGGGTAGTGGACGGTGTTATTCAGTAGGGCAGTGACATGCGAGTACGGAGGGGTCACAAGAGGGCTGAAACTTCCCTTACATGCAGAGAAGGGAAGCACTGGCAACATACTACTCTTCATTATCCCAGAGCACTGATCCCCGTCGGCCCTCCCTTCCCTCCCATCCTTTCCATTTTGCACATGTGAGAGGAGCAGTTCAGGGACTGACAAGAAAGGAATGTGATCTACCCATCACTTGCCCATGATCCATGGGTAGTTCGTGATCAATGGGTTGTCGACACTTAGTCTACAGCTATAGATACTGTATGTCAACAGCTGTAAAGTCATTGTGATTGAAAGTGTTAACCCACCCTCCCTCTTGTGACTAAGCCTGGGTTCACACTAGTCTTGCTGCATAATTATGGGTCTTCCAATACATTTTTGTACAGTGTCATTTATGCTTTTTTCATGTTTCATGTGTTTTTTTTGTCAATGACTAGCAATATCTGATGGGATGTCATTGTTGCTAGGAACAAAAGACTTAATTTTAAGCAAAAACAAAACACCAAAAATGCACCAATAAGCATATATGCTCTCGTTAAAGTTCATAGGGCCAATAAATGCACTATATAGTACCAAAGAGGCACCTGCAACTCTTTAAAAGTCATACTGTACCATATTGCCATGATGTGAACAGACTCCATAGAGAATAATGTGATTTTCTTTGTGGATAAAGGTAGTTAGGCATACTTACACTTTAAGTTTTCCTGCTCCTAGGAACTTCTCCTTTCCCTACCAGCCTATAGTCACTTGTTAAAATCTTTTGAGCTGGTGCCAGAGTGCAGTTACATTTTAAAGAGACCCCATCACCAGACCATTCATTTCAACAACAGCAATGTTCCTACAAAATTAAATGTGCATTAAAGGATAAATTTCCCGTTGTACTTACCACCATGGGTGATGAGCTGTCAGTGCCAGCACAGCCAGTAAAACAATCTGAGGATTTGAAGTCTGCACTTTTCTTCCCCTTTCTGTAGAGCTTCTGGGATGGATCAGAGCCATTCTGATTGGTCAGTGCTGAAATACACTTACCGACCACTTTATTAGTTACACCTTGCTAGTGCCAAGAAAATATCCCCCACATCATTACACCACCAGCCTAAACCATTGATACAAGGCAGGATGGATCCATGTCGATTACACCAAATTCTGACCCTACTATCTGAATGTCGCAGCAACTAGTCTGCCCATTCTCCTCTGGCTTCTGACATCAACAAGGCATTTTTGTCCACACAGCTGCCACTCACTGGATATTTACTTTTTTGGGGGCCATTCTCTGTGAACCCTAGAGATGGTTGTGCGTGAAAATCCCAGTAGATTATCAGTTTCTGAAATACTCAGACCAGCCTGTCTGGCACCAACTACCATAACATGTTCACAGTAACTTACATCCCCTT